ATTTTGTAGCAGATCATTTTCCAATGCAGTGTATTCTTTGATTTCTTGATGACTGCTTCCATAGGCATTGATTAAGGATCCAACTAAAGGGAAATCCTTGACAATATCAATGTTTTCACTTTTAGCATGATTTTGCAAAGAATACCAGAAAGGTATTTATCTGTGTTTTATTGAATGTTCAAATGCTGTGTAGATCATAACAAATTATGAATAACATTGTGAAGAATAGGAATTCCAAAACACTTAATCGTTCTTATGCAGAACCTGTACATAAACCAACAGGCTGTCATTCAAACCAGAGGATACTGAATGGTTTAAAAGAGTAAGAGTGTGTATCAGGATTGTATCCTTTGAGTATACTTATTAATCTGTATGCTGAATAAATAATCTGAGAAACTGGACTATATGAAGAAGAACATAGCATCAGGATTGGAGGAAGACTCATTAACAATATCATGGGTAGGTGATATAACCTTGCTTGATGAAAGTGAAGATAATCAGAAGCATTTACTGATGAAAATCAAAGACTACAATTGTCAGTATGGATTACAGTTCAAAATAAAGGAAACAAAATTCTCACAACTGGACTAATAAGCAGTATCATGTAAACAGAGAAAACATTGAAGTTGTCATAGATTTCATTTTAATTGGATCCACAATCAATATACATAGAAACAGTAGTCAAGAAATCAGACTTCATATTGCACTGGGCAAATCTGCTGCAAAAGGCCTCTTTAAAGTGTTAAGGGACAAAGATGTCTACGGTGCACCTAATGCAAGCCATGGCGTTTTGAATAGGTTCATACTCACTGGACAATGAATAAGGAAGACCAAAGAAGAGTTGTTGCCTTTGAGTTGTGGTGTTGGTGAAGAATACTGAAAATACCATGGACTGCCAGGAGAACATACAAATCTGTCCTGGAAAAAGGGCAGCTCAAGACTCCTTAAAAGTGAGAATTGTCAGACTTTGTCTCACCTACATTGGTCATGTTGTCAGAAGGGACCAGTCTCTGGAGAAGTTTATCATGCTTTTAAATAGAGGGTCAGTGAGAAAAGGGAAAGCCTTCAATGAGATCAATTGACAGTGGCTGCCCCGAGGGGCTCAAGTGTAGCAATGGTGGTGAGGACAGTGCAGGAGCAGGTGAGTTTTGTTCCTTTGTTTATAGGTCACTGTCAGAGCCAACTTGATGGCCCTTAACAGTAACAACAATATCATGAGTGACATAGCCTGATGGCACAGTTGTCCACTCAGAAGAAGTGGATACATTCAGTGATAAGTATTACTTCTCTTTTCTCTTTCTGAGTTATATTATACATTTCATAAAGTCCAATCCTCTAAGGGCCTGGGTCATGATGAAGTAAATGTACCTAAGATGTTATTATGGCATGTCACTTATAATTTCCTCTGGTTGTTTGATTGCTCCAGACATAATATTTAACTGCTGAAAAATAAATAAATAAATAATCTATATACAAAAAAAACATTCCTTGATTTTACCCTACATGTCTTTGATCACCAAATAATTTCCTACTATGACAGGTCACGAGTGCTTAAAATGCAAATACTACACCTGATGATTCCAAAACAGGTGAAAAATGTTTCAGAATAGTGCTGTCATCTCTGCACTTGAAATGAACTTTTCAGTAGGAAGTCGGTTTCTCCCAGATAGCTGTAGTGTGCAAGCAGATAGGGAAAAAGAAAAAGAAAATAAATAAATTAAGATTTTACATAGAAGAGATTTGGCCTCATCATACACATAATGAATTTTCTAAGAAAATGTAGGAAGGTTTTGGGAAACACTCTGGACCACCTCCTACATACATTCTAAAACGGGCCTTAATTTTGGGTTACAGAGGATGGAAACATGAGAAGAACAGCTCAATCTGCTTGGTAGGCAGAGGACTCACAGGGTCATAAAGTCAGAGTGGTCTTGTCTTAGAAAGTTGTTAGTATCTGTCGGGTACTATTAAGTCGATTAGACTCTAGCCACTCCATGTGATAGAACAGACCTGTCCCTTAGCGTTTTCTTGGATGTAATCTCCACAGAAACAGATCACCAGATCTTTCCCCTATAAAGGGACTTGAAGGGTTCGAACTTCCAACCTTCAGTTTAGCAGCCTAGTACTTAAGTGAATAAGTTAGGGATTACTATTATAGAAAAATAATAGTGTTTCATATCTATTGAACATTTAAAGTTTACAAAGAAATACAGTTTTATAGGTTCTTCAGTTCCAATTGTGACCCTGAGATGTACAAAGAATTAACAAACTCAACTACTTACCAGGAGTGGATTGGTTCAAATCCACTCAGAGATGACTGAAAACAAAGTTCAGGTGACCCACCTCCTAATAATAAGCTATTGGAGTCCCTTCAGAGCACAGTGTACTCTGACACAGCTGGGGTCAGCATGAATCAGAGAAAATTTGACTCAACAGAAGCTGTTGTTGGTTTTTACTGTGATTCTTTAATTTGCATTGGCTAGCACACTCTTCGGCACATAACAACAACAACAACAAAGCACACTCTTCTACCTTATCTATCAGTTTCTTTCTCAGATGTCTCCAAGGCTTCTGTCTTTCTCTGAAAACATTCACAAATGGGAAACTTAGTATTTCTTCAAATAACACATTAATTAAAATAGTATCTTTCTCATTCTTTTCTAAGTTTGGTGGATGCAGGGAGAGTGCATGTTTTATTTGCCTTTCATCTTTGGGTCCTGGCACGGTATATCCTGTAGCATGTCACCAAGTAAAGTATCAATAGTTTTAATTCAATTAATTTTAATTGTTAGCGATTGCTTCCAAAGAATTTAAATTACTGGGAGTTCACTTCTCAGAGTCTCCTAGAATAAAAATGACAGCTCTTCAAATGTTTGAAAATGTGTGTCTTGTTTTCCCTTGATCTTCTTTAGAGTAAACATCTACAGTAATTGTAGCAGTTTATTGTTCTTTGCTTGACTGATGTTTCACTACTCTGACAATTTGCTATCTTTTCATGAATCTGATTTCCTCAGGAGAACAAAGTAGTCAAGGTAAGGGCTGTTCAAAGAAAGAAAACTGTGAAATTATCCTCTATTTTTTGCCCCCCAGATGTTATATTTATATTCAAGTAACCACTGGCCATATTATAAACCATAGTATGTTATAATGCTGTTCTTTATTTATATTGACTTTAAGATAAATAAAAATTCCCAAAAAGAGAGATGGGAATTAAGGAATACTGGTATGATATGTAAACAGGTCAAGAAAAAAAAAAATACAGAGACAAAGGGAACAAAAAACACATTGAATACAAGGCAGGTAAAAACATGAATAAAGAATCAATGAATTAGGCAATATAAAGGCAATATTTACAGGGAAAATAAATATAGTCACCACTGACTGACACACACAGCAAGAGATTTGATGTCAAGTCCAAATGAAATCAACATTTTCCCAAAATTACCTCCATGGACTTTTGAGATTTTTGAGGATAATAATCACCAGAGATTATTTTCTTCTTTCCTTGTATTCCCTCATCAGTGGAAATGCATAAAACAACATGCTTATGCTGAAGAGAGAAAAATACATCCCCTTTATTTCCCCGGGTGTACTGAGGCAAGGAAGCAGATGTGTGGACACAGCAATTAGCTATTCATTGAAGTCATACTAGTGGGAATTTCCTTAGGAAACAGAAACAGTTAAAGGTCCTAGAAAATCAATATGTTAAAGTGAAATTAATGTTGTCTTCTTTTTCTTAGGTGATAAGAAGTCAGAGTCATTGACCTTAAAGTTACCATTTAAACAAAGCACTACCGCAACACCATAATTCTGGAATAGAATGTTTTCAGTTCTTGGTAGCATAAGACTAATATCCACAGTAAGGGGGTATTAGCATTACCACCACTAAAACTGAGAATCAGTGACTACAAGGAGAAATTATTTTCAAATATTATGTTTCACAGTCTTTTAAAATATATCTTTATATATGTTAAGCCTCAATTCTTGGCAATATATCTTGCAGGGGCATGTACACTGCCCATTAATTGTGTATGCAAAAATGGAAACATAAAACACCCAAACCCTTCTCATAATTACCACAGAACACATTTTTAAATCCTAATACAACTCTGGGAGGTCTAATAGCGTAGTGCCTAAGACATTTGACCGCTAACCAGAAGGCTGGCAATTCAAACCCACCAGCCACTCCTGGGAAGGAAGGTGGGGCAATCTACTTCCACAGGGATACCTCCTTGGAAATGGAAGGAGGGGTTATGAATTGAATCCACTCGCTGGCAGTGAGGTTTGTTGTTTTTGTTTGTTTGTTTGTTTTGTTACAACCCTTGTTTGGCAAAATATCTAGGCACTGAGGAGTATTTAGCAGATAATAATATTATGGTCAAAATAAGGAAGGTGATCCAAGAACATTATATCAAATTTTCATCTGGGATCTAGAGAGTACTTTCACTAATCAATTTCCAATTCGTTTATACGTTCTATTGTTCTTCGTTCCACTAGATGTCAGTGTTGGATAAGAGCAGAGAACGGCTTCCCTCTATTTCTAACTTTGCTCATATACGCTTTAACACCAAAAACTAACCTCACTACCTTCCAGTCGGAGCCGACTCATAGCGATCCCTCCTTGGATTTCTGAAGTGATATCACTATGGCAATAGATTGCCCAACCTTCCTTCCAAACAGTGGCTGGTGGGTTTGAACCTTCAGTTCTGGTTAGCAGTCAAATGCCTTAGGCACTATGTCACCAGAACATGTGCACTCTAATTTTAATGTATGCAAGTGATTACTTTACAAGATACAAATAAACTTCTACAAATGCATTGTGTTATATAAAAACCTACTTTGCACTTCCCTTATTCCCTAAATCTATTGGAAAAGGAAATGCATGCATTGAAAGCAAGACACTTGGTCCCAATTTGCAAACTGCTCTGAAACCCTATTCACCAATTCTGCCACATTCTATGTAAATATACCTTCTCCCTTTTGATTTATCCTTACTGCAGCCCTTAGATTTTGAAACAAAGAAGGCATATACTTTTAAAGTAGAGGCCTCCAATCCTCACCTTGACCACCGTTTTCACTCCGTGGGCCCCTTCAAAGACACAGCTACGGTGAAGATCAGTGTTTTGGACGTGGATGAGCCACCGGTGTTCAGCAAGCCTCTGTACACTATGGAAGTTTATGAAGATACTCCAGTGGGGACCATCATCGGTGCAGTAACTGCACAAGACCTTGATGTGGGCAGTAGCGCCGTGAGGTAAGGAAAAGAAACACTTTCTATTCTGTGCTTCAGAAATAGAAAGTAAATACTATTTGACCAACCCTGCATGGATTATCCATTTGTCTAATATGGTGTTTGAAAATGCAATAACTTTACCTGATTAACGTAGCAATAGAAGAGAAGCCTAAGACTCGAGCAAAAACATCCAAATATCAATTCCTGTTAACAGTGTTTACCATTGATCTGATGTTGGACATACCACTCAACCTAACAAATCTGTAAGAAAAGTTTTGATGTTTAATGGTTTCATTTATTTATTTAAATTTTTATTGTGGTTTGGGTGAAAGTTACAGAGCAGATTCATTTTCCATACAGCAGTTCATACACATTTTGTCTCATGACACTGACAGCAATTTCCCACAATGTAACAGCTCTCTTCCCACTGCCTCCCCTAGTTACCTCTTCCCTGTATCCTTCCCTCCCAGGCACTTCTGCCCACCCCCACCCCTGCAGTCTACTTGTGCATACACTGCCTTTCTATTCTCCCATGATCAATGTCTCCAAGGAGTGTATCTACCTAATGTCAATGTTCAGCTCATATTCCTGCCTTTTGTTTGACTGGAAGCCACAGGAGTGGGTTCAATTCCAGACCTGAAGGGCAGCTAGAGGCCACAGTCTCAGGTGTTTCAACAGGTTCTATCAGAACAGCAAACCTGGTCCTTTTGCTTTTTTATGATTTTGAGTTTTGTTCCACATTGTTCTCCCACTCTAGCCAGGATCTCCTACATGACCCCCGTCCAAGTGGTTGACAGTGGTAACCAGGAGCCATCTCGTTCTTCTGCGTTTATAGTTCTCTATAGGCTGAGGATTGACAGGTGTACAGTGTCTTGCACTGATTAATTCCATGCAACTTTTTAATTTACTCTTTGCTCTGAACAAAGAGAGCCCTATTGTTGCAACTAGATGGCTGCTTGCAAGCTCTTAAAATTCCAGTCGCTACTCACCAAAATAGAATGTGGAACAACATTTTTGCGTAGTATATTATGCCAACTGAGCTTGATGTCCCTTGAGACCATGGTCCTGAGCCCACAGGTCCAACTAATCACTCCCTCTGTGTAGCTGGCTGGGGCCAAGAAGTCACCACAAACTTCCCTTGTCAGTTCTACTATATACATGGACATTCTTACTGAACATACAAATATTCTTGGAGATACATTATCTGCCAACCCTATGCATGGTCATGGACACACCCCCTCCCTGCCTAGACATGCCTGATCTTTCAGCCTTCACCCATCTATCCAGTCATATATCTATGTTTGTCATCACTGACAACAACGTACTGTATGTGCCAAAGGGTTCATCTTTTTTGTCTGTATCTCCCATGTACCTCTCTATGTCTTCTTCCTCAGTGCCACTGTGTGATTACTCATATTTGGTGCATTGCCCTTCCCTTCACCCAAATTAAAACTTGTCTCTACCTATCTAGAGTGTTCTCTCCTCTCCTGTCCCACCCCTGGTAATCAACAAGGAAATTTTCCTTCTATATAAAAACTTTTTCTTGACCTTTCATAATAGTGAACTAATATATATTTGTCCTTCTGATATTGACTTATTTTACTCAGCATAATGTCCTCCAAGTTAATCTGCATTATGTGGTGCTTTGCCAATTCTACATTATTCTTTGTGGTGCATAGTACTCTACTGTGTGCATGTGCCATAGTTTGCTTATCAATTGTTCTGATGATGGGCACCTAGGTCGTTTCGATTTTTTTGCTATTGTAAATAGTGCTTCAGTAAACATGGGTGTGCATATATCTGTTCTTGTCCTGGCTTTCACTTCCTTAGGATATATATCTAGTAAGGGAATGTTTGGGTCAATGATATTTCTAATTCCAGCTTTTTAAGGAATCACCATACTGCTTTCCACAGTAGTTGTATCATTTTATAGTCCCACGAAAAGTGTATGAGAGTCCCAACCTCTCCACATCCTCGTCAGCATTTGATATTTTCTGTCTTCTTAAACATTGCTAATAGTGCAGGGCAAGAGGGTATCTCATTGTTGTTTTGATTTGCATCTCCCTAATGGTTAATGCATTAATACAACTATTATTCAAATTTATTCACCAACCACCAAAACCAAAGATGAGGAAATTGAGGATTTTTATCAAATTCTGCAG